GTCAGTCGGCAGTCCAGGGCACTGTGTGTCCGAGTGGATCGCAACGTGATTTAGCGAACCCCACTCCACCACAAAAGGACACTTGACCATGCGAGATAGTCTGGTGGCCCTGTTCGAATACCAGAGACGCCTAGAGGAAGACTACCAGTCGAGGTTGAGATGTCGGGGACTTTGCGCGACGTGGCGTACACGGATGAGATGAACGCCGTGTTGGGGATGACTACACGCTGGGTGGCAGAAGCAATAAAGTCCCAGTTCGATGTAGCAATGGGTGGTGAAATTGCTGACTCGTGCGCCTTCCGGGATAACGGAGCACATGTGACTGTCTCTCGAAATGGACGAGAGTATCTTCTGGAGAAGGAAAGCTGGAAGTGTGATTGCGGTTTCTCCCAGACGATGCAGCTCCCTTGTCGTCATGCGTGGTGTACAGAAAGACGTGTGGAAACCCGTTTGTCATCCCTTACGGAGCAATTGAGACCAGGTACGTTCCGCTGCTTTCCAGGTATTGCCCAGGTACCGAACAGGTATTGACCAGGTTTTATTGGTGGCTAACGTACGGCTTGGTTGTTTGCATTTGGTAGATGGTTTGGGCGGAGTCGCTGTTCACTAGAGCATCTAACTGAGATACCAGAATCATTTGTGGCCAAAATCTTCAAAGCAAAAGGAGGAGATTCGACGACGGCTACTGCCCTTAGTGAGCCGGAGAAATACCGGCGAGCCCAACAAACCTTCGCTCGTATTGGAAGCGAGCTTGCGCGGCTAGACGACGGTGAGACTGCACTTGAAGAATTAGACCGCTGGTGGTACAATTTGAGACAGCGGGCTGGCGTGGCGGTCCCTACTGGAGAAGAAGATGAGCATGTCCACAACCATGAAGATGACGATCAACACGGAGAAGGGGAAACGGAGACTCTACCGGTACGTTGCCGACAAGTCGGGGCGACAGTGGTCCCGTGGCTCAAGACGGCGCGATTGCATGCACCGATACTAATGAACCAACTCAACGGAGTGCCGATCGATCACCTTCGTGAACCGCTGGGAAGCTAAAGGGTGGTTCTGTACCGGTGGCTTTGGTGCCCACGATACGCCTTTCCGGTAAAGTTCGAAGGGCGGGTCGGCCGAACCTGAATCGAGTACAAGTGAAAGAGAAGTCTCGAGTAGCTCACAAAGAATACAATCAAGGGATGCGATTGAGAGTTCTTCTCCGGGGAAGTGACGTTTGCGACGTCGTTACAACTTTACGTGAAATACGGCCTGGTGTAAGCGAAGTCGGGTCTTATTTGGCCACCCATGAAGTCAAGACGAGTGCCAGCAAGCGGACCCCGAAGTGGAGCATCGAGGACAACTTTGTGCCTTCTCGAGTGCGGTTTAGGCTTCCTGAGGAAGTTATCAGCAACGCATTAAACCTTTTGAAAACCGAAATTCGCGATGGTGACACAGAAATCGAACTAGGTAGCGATAGATAACGAACGGATGAGACGAATGGATATGTGGTGACATTTGAAAGACTGAGCCAGTCTACGACAGAGCAACTGGAAGCCATGCAGTGGCTTTGGAACCTACAGTCGGCTTGCAGAGAAGCCGTGTTGAGCTGCACGTGGCTCACTCGTTCGGTTAAAGAAGTGGAAGATGACACATCACCGGCACACGTAGCTTTCTTACAGATTTTGGAGTGTTGGCCGTACGCTGCGTTAAAAGAGTTCGGGTTTGACCTATCGTACGCGGCAATATTTTGCCTGAGGGACTCGCAATGGCTGAACGATACCGTGATGAGAGCTGTTGCGGTAAGCTTGAGCCGCTTCAAGAACAACCAGACTGTGATGCTGCCTCCGCCGACTAGCGATGGACAGCGCGGTGATATTCTGCAAGAAAAAGCCATCCGTTCTATCGCTCGAGCGGTGGCTTCGCGACCTTTCGTCCTGATGCCCGTTAATCTTGGAGGGGTGCGTTGGGCTGGTCTCCCCTGACACCGCCGCGAGGCGGTGGAGAGCCTCCCACTCGACGCGAGTGAGATGGGGGAAATTATCGTGCTTTAGGGTAGTCCAGGAGGAACTAGACGTCAGGCCGTGTTTCATCTTGATCTTGGTCGTTGGAAGGAAACGAAGTGCTACCAGGTGTAACGGGCCAGGTATTTACCATTACTAGCTTACACGTAGCGATGAGGAAGCGTACTTAGCACGACAAGATTCAATTCTCTGTAAAATAAACTCGGATTTAATTTTGGTCCAGGGCGGAGCCCTGGCCCCTTCAGAACCACTCAAATGCAAGTCGACTCTTGATTGGCTGAATAGCTGACCTTTCAGCCAATCAGAATACGATAACACAGCACGCGCTACCCGCATGCTATTGTACCTACTTTTGTAAAACAAACCTACCTACTTATATAAATGGTGACCCATTACATAAGCCAGTTGTGTACTATCACAACAAGAAGGCCTGGATGACTGCATTGCTGTTTCAGGACTGGCTACATGGTTTTAACTTGAAGATGGCTGCCCAGAACCGCAACGTGCTTTTACTTGTGGACAACGCATTCAGCCATAAAGTGCTACAACCTCTTTCTTATGTACAAGTTAAATTCTTACCCCCCGGCCGACATGACCTCATGTTAACCGACAGACACCTTGCTAGCGTTACTGCTAAAGATTTGTGCATTTGCGTTTAATAATTATAATCTGTTTATCCATTTAGTTAGTCAAGTTAGTACCGGGATGATACGCCGGAAGTAGCGCTGAGGAGATTTCTACGGTGCGATGGCACGAAGTACTTGTAACTGTTTGTGGTAAAGTGATCCGCAAAGTTGATATCGGCTACGCGATACGGGAGCAGCTAAAGCATCATTGATTGTCAAGTCATTCGCCACGACGTTGGTCCATCCCTAACATAGGTTTGACAGTGTTTTTGGATGGTCTGCGGAAGTGGAGGGTGAATCCAATCTCGATTAATACGCCAAAGCATTGGCGGGGATTACACCAGTCCTGGTCATAGCACCCCGGCATACATTTCTGACTAGTATCGGTTGGGTTACTGTTAGCTTAGGGGGTCTCCACGATGTTTGAAATGAGGCTTCGGCGATAGATTCCTCCAATCCCTACTCGTTTTTTTATGATTCGGTGGCCATGACATCGGTGTAAGGATAAACCTTCATAACTTTATAAAGTTTTATTGTCAGCCCTGCAGCTCAGTTGCTGCCAAAAAACTAAGGGTAAAGCAGCTCAAGTAGAATTATCTTGTTAATTATTAAGGTCCGGGCTATTACTTCGAAGTATCCTTGATGCAACTATACGAAACTAAAGTCGCAGAGTTAATATCACACCTTTTAGTTGAACCCTCTCTCTGGCCGCAATCACTTATAAAATGCTGTTATGCCAGTGGCCACAGGCTGTGGCTACCATAGCCGTTCCTGGCGAGAGAGGAAATGGACCTGCCAACAGCAGTTCCTTGAAGTGATCTGGAGTGTCGCGATCATTCTAAGTACCGTTGAGGTGGCCTATTTGTGGTGTCCTTTTGAACATATAACCTTCTAATTTATATATGCCTTTGTGCTTGGATGCATTCAAAAATGGAGATTAAACTTGTAACCTGTTTATATTGATACAGCTGTATACAGCTCATTACATCCAAGATCCTATGCGAGATTGGACAGTCCAACTGGACTAGACAACTTGCGCAACTGAAAGTTTGATTTTTGACATAACAGCCGTAGCAACACCATCCGATTAGTCAAGTGTATTCCACAAATTTGTTGACAAATATTGGCAATTCTAAAGAGTTATTTAGGCTCAAATTGCATGATAGTGCGACGAATAAAAAAAAAAAAAAAATCAAAATAGCGACCCTCGTGCAGACTTGTAGCGAGTCATCTGCACGATCCACCTCAGGTGACGCCAAAGTAGTACGCCTTGACGGCCTGATAAAACGTCGCTTGTTTCATTCGCGTCATTGATAGTATCAAGGATTTGGGATTTGGGATCACAAAGGTCTCGTAGACTAATGCACGTGTCCAAGTGCCACTATGTAGACGGCTTACCAGCTTGTGGTAGTCTGTCACTGCCGGTATTAACAAACATGGCTTAGTTCGGTGATACAGACGCCTGTCCGTCGGATTTTTCAACTCCTGCTATAGCTTTGTTCAATTAACAACAATAGTATGTATCAAACACCCGAGCCTGATGCTGTTATCGTTATATAATAGCAGTTGAATCATGGCAAGTAGCAACAGTAGCAACACTAAATGCCTTCTTGTATGCTCTTTGCAATCTCCAAATCTGCCAGGCTTCAATAACTTTACTGGTAGTGTTCACACAAAAGCAATGGGTCAACGTCATTGAAATATATCAGTAGGTTGGAGCGTCATATTGAATTTTTTGAAAGATTTGGGATTACCAAATCTTCATCATGTTTTGTTCGCGATATGCTAAACATCACTAGGTTGGAGTAACATTATCATATTCTTTTGTAAACGAGCAAGGCTTTCCGTCTTGATATAGCTGGCAATTAAGTCCCACAAATATCACGATGGGCCGTCAATCTTTAAGTTAATCTAAAGAATCGATCCAGACCTTCTTCACCTCGTACACCATCCTGGATTACATGCTATGCTGTGCTTATCATAGATGGTACGCTTGCAGTTGGAGTGACGACTGAGGAGGAAAGCAGGGGCCTCGATGTGTGCTGGTTCAGTATGATCTGTTCATTTGGGACTGTTATTTCCGAAGGCAAATGGTTTGGTTGCAAGTTGAAAGTTACAACAGCTATTGTGTCGAGACTCAAAAGTCTACTGGCTGCGACTAACCTTCTTAATTATCATACGGACCCTCCTCGACCCGCAGTCACTGCGGCAGTGTGGGTATCTTCAGGCTGAAGACTTAGCATCTGGATGAGCTTGCCATTCTTACCAGCTGTTCTGAATCGTGGGTTTGTTTATGTTCACCAGGTGCGGTTCACGTACTGTAAATGCGTGGCTGCTGCATGTACTGAAATGTTTTAATTATTTTTGTAAAATCTTGTACTAAAGACATCATAGCCAAGACACACAAGTTTTTTTAAACTCTAAGAAGTAACCATTCAGCAGAACCTCGAATGTTTTCATAGCAAGATATTAACTATCATGTTTGAATATTTTGCTCCCAAAGTGCTACTGTGTACGTGTATAAATGTAATTGGTACACTAAACGACGAATACACGAAGTTTCGATGCGAGTCATCTGACCAATATTTCGTAGAAATTCCGACATTATAAGCTGTGCTACTTCTTCCCCGCACGTGTCATATTTGATACGACGACCACATGAAGGTTCGGTGCGGTTCCTCTGACCAGTATTTTACTACTAGTATCATGATGTGAAATCAGATGAAACGAGTTACAGTATCGAGTAGCCAACTGCGCTAAAAAGAATCAAGCTTCGCATTTCGATGGAATTTAGTGCATGCAATTAGTTACTACATGAACACTATGTGCCAAGTTCATGATGTTATTAAATACTTTGTTTAAGTACTTTAAAAAGTAGCCATTATTCACAGAAATTCAGTGCACGAGGGCGGAAGGCTTCCCAACATATGGCTCTTCGAAATATCTTCAAGGGGTTTTAACTAGCAAATGTGTACCCCCGTGTTCAACACCAGTCCATCCCCATCCCGTCGTGGTTCGCAGCCGATACGCTGAAGTACCCTACGGAACCACCTATGCATACCGGCACGATGTCGTGAAGGTATTGAAGCCCGCTTAGATATGTAGATGACTCAAGGACGATCCCTTTTCCACTTTGTTTGAGGTCGAATCCTCCGCTCCCTCAACGGAGCCGAGGAGAATTCGTTTTGCTCTGATCTCACACAAGCTCCACGCGACTCGATCGGTGTCTTTCTTCGACTGTACAATGGCTCGATCAAGGATACTTTTCGCCTTCCTCGCTGCAGTCGTCGGATTCACTCTTACTGAAAGTATCGCAACACCCAGGTCTTTGAGGACAGTAGCGACGGAGCCTCCCGGCTCACTTGTCTCCAGTTCATCTGCGTCCAACAGCGGTATCGAGTTTGCTACCCCTGCTACTGCGACGAGTACCGTCCGATCGACTTATCGCAACTGGGTGGGCTCGTGGAGTATGTCACCTGATACCGCGTGCTATCGAAAAGCTCACATCATGGACGTCTGTCCTAGCAACTACGACCGTAATGAGGCTACAAATACCTGTTGGACCGAATGTCCATTAGACTACCCCGTCGAGTGTGGCATGGAATGTATTCGACAAAATGATGACTGTGGGATTGAAGTGACCAGTAAGGTTACTGCTGTTGCTATGACTATTCTCAGTAGCGCTACATTCGGCGTGTTCGGCGAGCTGGCCAAGTTGGGTCAGAAGATTTCGTGGGCTGTCAAGTGCTCCAACTCGATGATGCTGGTGCTGCGAGGAATTATCCGATACATTCGCACTATGAAGGCGGAAGACCCGCAGGCGACCGACCGCCAGCTACTCATTCTACTATACCAGACGAGCACTGTGGTTACGGACCTACCTATCGCAATTACCATATGCATGGGCAAAGCTGTCCCCCCGAACCTTCGTTTGTCACAATACGTGCTATCAACGGCGGAGTGGGTGCTCATGCAAGTTCTAGCTCATGACGACAGTATAATCTCGAGTTGGGGGAGGTTCCGTGCCTTCCTTAAAGGTGCTAACTTCACTGAAGCTGCGGAGGAGATCACGGAGGGAGAGATTGAGTCACTCGAGACGGCTATGAAGCAGAACTCGAGTTGTGCCGGAGACCTCAAGTCCCTAACTGACCGCGTTTGGCTGACTGTAAACGAGTACCGACAAGAGAACCCTGCCATTACGGACGATGAGATTCGCCTCAAGATCAGCGACTCCGACCTCGTACTCTACGACGTGCCTACAGTGACCAACAACTGTATGCACCAGATGATCTCCGAGTCCAGTCTAACGACCGCCTATAAGACCCGTGAGGTCTTACGGAAGACCTTCGGGGTCATCATCGACGACCTCATCAAATCGGGGAAGAGCGACAATGGCACGTCCTACGACGAGAAGGAAAAGGCGTACAAAGTGGTCGACTTTGCCTTCTCCACTGCCGCTGCAACGTTGCTAGATCCCACGCGTATTACGCTGTTGTTTTCCGAGTACATCCAGACGGTCTGTGGGCCAACCCAATTCATGGGGGAGATCGACGACGGTACTGATGCTGCCACGTTGGGCTTGAACACACTTGAAGACGCTTTCAAAGGCAGTAAAAGCTCGTGGACCAAGAAAGGCGACGGTAAAGTTATCATCAACTTTAAGAGTACAGACACGAAAGACGTGACGGTCAACATCATGTCTGGAGGAGACAGAATCGATGAAGTCGATGTAAAAGCTGGAGGAACTGCCCAATGGAATTCAACTGTTAAAGCGCTAGGCGGTAAGACGCTCTACCTTGATCGCTGGCGCCCGGGTTTCCTCGGCCTTCCCGGCACTGGGGGAGGTTCACTTGTGTTGTGGGTGCCTAGGGCCTCTCAAGGAGGCCACTTAGAAATTGAGGCGAAGCTCAACGTGAGCTAGAATGCCTCCGTTCATTTTTACAATGAATAATTACAATAGAACCTAGAATGAACAATTTTCAATCAGGATCATTATGGCGGCTGTAGAAGAACGGCAATGACCGTAATGTTGTCGTTAGAGTACCGACGAATCCCCTCCTGGGCCAGTTCATGGGCTGCTAGCTGTAAATCTCCATGCAACTCCACACGCTCTCGAAAAATCGCAGTAGCTTCTTCGCTTGTTAAAACATCCCATAATCCGTCGCAAGCCAGAAGCAGGAAGGCGTCGTCTTTCGGGTTAAGCGCCAGTTCATGCACATCAGGCTTCGCCGTAAGCAACGGCGGTACTTTTTCATTGTCACGGAAAGCACGTCCAAATCCTGAAGACCCTGCATTTGCTTGTGGCTGGTCCAACATCCCTTTGAATTCAAGATCCCCAAAAGCCCGAGTTATCGCCATAACACCGTTAACTCGGTTATTTACCACACGACCTCCTAGTTGAATAACACGCTCGCGTTCGGCTTCTAATGTAAGACGATGATCTTGTGTGAGCTCTACCGTATCACCGTCACGTTTGCCTAATACAAGACGACAGTCTCCCACATGTGCGATCGTCAGCAGGATATTCCTATTCACTCCTGGTCGTAGTATTAGTCCAGTGGCAGTGGAGCCACTGAGATCGTCTTTGTGTAACAAATAATCGCACACTGAAGCATCGAGCGATTCAAAAGAGTCTTGTAAGTCTTTAACTGTAAGAGCAGCGTTTGGAGCCTTGAAAATCCAATTGTGAAGTTGTTCGTGTAAAATATTGGCACATTCCTCCCCTCCGTGCCCATCGTAGATTCCAACATACGCAGTATCAGCCCACAAGGTATTGCCCAGAGTTGTTGTGATCGAAGGAAATACTACCCATCTGTCCTCTTGTGTGCTTCGTCGACCTTGTAATGATGAAACGCCATAACGAACAGCCAGAGCGGGGCTTTCGCCGTCGAAACGGAGGTCGTCGGAGCTTCCGGTATTTCTCCCCCACGATGCTCGGTTGTCGATACAAGATACAGTAGAAGTCGATAGTTTACTGGCGTTGCCACTGCTTCCATTACTATTCGTGATACTTGCTAAAGGTGGCATGGAGAGCGTTGTTAGTAGTAATTCGTCGAGTAGTTGCGGCGACTGGGACACTGCCAGATCGTCATCATCTGAAATGAGCTCTTCGTCATCGAGACTATCGTTCATACTGTGAACGTGAGGCTCCGCATGATCTTCACTGGGTGGAAGAACCTCCAATGTGTTCTTGTTACTCGCTTTCTTGCGCGAGAACAGTTGCGAGCGGTAATCGGTCTCTTCACTCGAGAGAACTTTGCGCTCGTCCGATACCACATCGTCGGATGTCACAGCACAAATTTTGTTGGTTCTAGCGAAATTCTTCGCTTTTATCGACTTTGGTGACTGTGCGAACACGATATTCGAGTTTTCCCAGTCTGTCGTCGTTTTTTTCTTCGCTTCCAGATTCTCACGAGCTGTTTTGAGACGCTTGTGCATCTGCTTACGAATATTCACAACGATCGCTACGTGATTCGCGCCCACGGCATGCTCAATCTCATCTTTAGACACTGAGATTGGTCGCGAAGGTCGATTAGTAGCCAAATTGTGTTTCTCGTTCTTAGTAACCCAGGGGTGAACCATAACGTCGAGAAGCGTAAGACGCTTCTGTGTCGATTTTGTGAGCATCCCATTGAGCAAATGGGCCAACAACGGGTCGATTGCCGCAGGAAATACTAAGGGGTCATTCTGAATCCTTTCGAACATATGCATGGCACTTTTAGCCAAGAACGGAGGGTTTCCGAATTTAAGCATGAAGATCGTAGCTCCAAGCGCCCAGACGTCTGCGAGTTGACCTGAAAACTCTTCACCTGAGCACATTTCGGGCGACATAAACGCAGGAGTACCGGCTACATCCGTGATCTTTTGTTTACTACCGTAAAGTGATTGCGAGATGCCGAAATCAGCAATTTTCACGACATCTTTGTCCCCAACGAGAAGATTCTGAGGCTTGATATCTCCATGTACAATTTTCTGTTCGTGAAGGTAGGCTAATCCTAGAATGACTTGCAGGAAAACACTGTGTAGATCTCGATCTCGCAGGTTTTCCAGTGTTCCCTGTGGATTTTTCTTCTTCTGAAACGACAACATGTCGCCGTGCTTCATGTACTCGAGAACGAGGAAAAGTTTGTTCATCTTCGGGTCGTCCATAACTTCATACAAACGCAGTACATTCGGGTGGTTGAGCTTCTTCATGATGGCAATTTCGCGCTTGATATCGTCCAGTTTGCTCTGTTTGCCCAGTTTATCTTTCTTCATCACGTCACGACTGATAAATTTCATCGCAAATAGTTTACCGGACTGTTTCTCCTTGCAGAGCTTCACTTCGGCGTACCCTCCGACGCCTAGAGGTTCTAGAATGATGTAGTTGTTGATCATCGTGCGTGAGTTAAGCCAATCGCCAAATTTCGGGACTGGATGAGGCAAGTTGTGTTGAGGCAACTCTGCTTTCTTCTTCTTTACTACTTTTGTGTCTCGAATGGCAGAGGCAGCGGGTGATCCACTAGGCGACGGCGCTGACTTACTAGGAGACATATCGCCTGCCATTACAAGTGGAACAACTGCAGGTGCGAGGTTATTGACGATGCCTGAACGATATGAACCCTGCTTGGCTGGAGACATAGAGAGCGATGCACCGGCACTTCGGGTTGGCGACATATTACCTTGACGATAAGATGGTGGCTGAGGTGTGCGTCCTGGCGTCAGTCCTGATGTTATGCGCGTAGGAGAACCGCTTGCTGGGGGTACGATGGTAAGGCCGTGCACGTGTCGTGACGGAGACTGAGCCGGACTGGCTTGGAGACCTTCCCGTGCTGACATCAAAGGCGTTATAGGCTTGGCTGGACTAACTACACGTCTGACGGGGGATTGAGGCGGTAGATCTACAGGACCGTCCAGCCAGTCGTGAACATAATCGTCGGATTCACCTACGTCTTCGCTGGCATCACTGCTATCATTGCTATCGGACTCCACGTTCTCGATATCGTCGGATAGATCAAGGGCTGGTCGGAATTTTGGTTGAAAGCCTGAAGATCGACGGCGTGGTAGCGACACTGGTGGATTCGCAGCACCCTGTTCGGTCTTCTGGGACTCGCTTTTCAGGTTGCTGTTGCTTGATTGCTGTACCTGAGAGGCTCCGACTGTCATTTTGGCTGGACTGTTGCTTCGAGGCGATTTCGCAGTGGGTGTTAATACCACAGTGATGGCTTCGTCACCAAGATCCCAGTCTTCCACGTCTTCGTCCTCTTTCTCAATATCTTCGCCAGAGTCTTCGTCTCCGTCACTGCTACTGCTCTCAACTTTCCTGGCTTTTAAGTTCGGATCTCCTGATTGTTGTTGTTGAATTATGTTGCGGTCTCCTGAAACCACAATATGAACGGGATATCCCCTTCCTCGAGCAGATGGGAGTGATCCGCGAGGCATCGGGACGTTTGGACCTTGAGGAGCTCGATATCCAGTCGGAATCGGACTTCCTCGTCCTCTTGGAGGCATCCCTGCTACCCAACCTGGTGCTCTTGCAATCTGTGGCTGTTGCAAAGGAATCGATGCTATCTGAGCCGCATTAACGTTTGATCCCTGTCGAGGAAGCACTTGTGCATTCTGTGCTCCAGTATTCTTCCGAATTGACCCGACATTAATTGCTTGATCTAGCCCGTCGACAGGATTCTGAGTGGCAACATGGCTGGGACTATCGCGCATTGAATACGATACATCGGGTAGCATGGAGGACGCCACTGGCAACTGTTCTCCAAGTATCGACTGCTGCATTAATGATTTTAAGGGGCTTCCATTGACGGTGTCAATACTCCCAGATCCTGGTCGATCTTGCCCGCCTTTCGTGTCACTAGGCTTTTCAATTTCCTTTGCCCCCATGGCCAACCGCAGTAGCGCATCACTCGGTGGTTTACTCTGATCAGTTTCGTCGTTGCTGCTTTTGGTGATTGGTTTGTTCTCACTTGAAATATTCACAGAATCAGGAGGTGGTGCAGGAGGCTTGCTGGCCTTAGCCCCCATTCGTAATGCCGTCCAAGCACTGCTCACCTCGTTGCCATCACTACGTCGAAAGCAGAATTGCTTCGACCAAGTAGTAAGAACGCAACGAGCTATTTGTGAAAGAACGACAGTTTCGTCCACTGGATGTAGATCTCCTGCATGAGTTTGATGAACTGTAAGGTGCCACCACGATGTGTTCTAGAAACAAGTTAATTTCACCTCCTAGGCACCACCACGCCAGTCGATAACCCTCTTAACGATTTCCTCCGGCGATTTCCACTTCAAAATCATCCCAACAAAAAATATAACTCGTGAACGGTATCAAGAATTGCATGTTACACGACTAAAAAAACACAACAAATCAAATAGCATTCCATTTTTTAATCAACATCGGAGTGTTCGATTCTGGATGTGGTTGCACTGCAATCTGTAAGAGCTCGCGACGGACTGCGGTCAACGGTAGCATCAAATGAATACTGTTGGCCAGATCAGTCACTCTACAGATAAACGATCGATCGACGAACCACGCTGCAGCGGATGGTTGGATGAGAGTGATACGACTTCACTTTGCAGCATCGATGCGTCAGTGCAACGTAGCGCCCGAATAAAGTGAGTAACCATCAACGTTTGGACGAACAAAGGGGGGCGGCGGCCTCTTGGTGCCAGACACTTTTAGTGATCACAAACGTTTCGTTCAAGAGCCGATCTAAAGCTGCTGAATGACGCGGCCTGTGGATGGAATGCACACAAGCTCGCTTGGTGCTCCAGATCTACTGTCATGAAGTTCTGTAGATACAAGCCACGAGAGGGTCGAAGTGTCGACGAATGTTGAAGCAAATCGTAGCAGAGACCAACGCGCCAAGCCGATTGGATCTGGCTCGCTAACGAGGATGTTGACTTGAAGACATCTGGTATACCTAGTAAATATTATACCCTGTTCATGTAAATACAAGTATACAACGTTTTACACAAGTGTTCAAGCCGATTTGTATTTTCACTGTGTAAATTGATACCACAATGATATTGAATATAATATAAGAACTTATTATTTCATTTTCTCTGTTGGATCTTCTGCTACAGTAGACGTTTGCGACTAGCAAAAGCGAGCATACTTTTACCTTCACATTCTCTTGAATCTTTGTCGGTCAGCGCAACACATTACAGTGGTTTTGTGAGGGTTTGCCTCAGCGGAAACCAAGAGTTTTGCTCGCTTGTGGACCGTATAGCATTGCCAAGTGCAATGTCACGTGCAACTACACCCGTCAGCAAGGTAACGCCATGACTACTGCGTTCACCGGTTTGTTGTCTGATGTCCTTGGATGATTGAGCTCGTCCAGTTTCATTCTACATTTTACTTCGCCAAGCGAAGACCAACTGCCAAAGTTATCGCCACTTCATCGTCCTTTGCCGCACGACCCGATGAAAGCGTGGAGAATGATGACACTACTGCACGCCTTGATCGTTTTGGCCGTGCTCGCCAGTGAATGCGATCCGGCATTCGGAAGCAACGAGGCTTCTTCATCGACATCGGAATTTGTCGGACAGGTCGAGACAGCGCCGTCTGCAATGCAGAGAGAGACAAGTGTCACCCATTCGACGGGCTCCAACTCGACTGCACTCTTCATTACGTCGCTAACGGAGAGCTCACCCGATGAGGCAGTCAAGACACAAAGTGACACCGCCCAGCAACCGACTGTCGCGACTATTTCGACAACTCAAGTCCAGACTGTCCCTACTTCTTCAGCTCCGTTGGCTGTGTCAACTACCGCTTCATCTAGCTCCTCGGGTTTGGACATCGTCTCGACAACAACGCCCCTCTTGCCCAACTGGGTCGGCACCGTTGATCCCTCCGACAGTGCTTGCTACCGCAAGACGTACATCTCCAGGACTTGCTCGGTTGGTTATGCCTACGATAACATCGCGACGTGCTGGGCACAATGTCCTCTGAATTACCCCGTGCAATGTGGCATGGAATGTATCCCTCAGAGTGATGACTGTGCGCTGGAGGTTATCACCAAGATCGAGTCGGTCGCAAAAGTAGCGCTAAATGCAGCGACGTCAGGTGTCTTCGGCCAGTTAAGCACGGCTAGCGCTGCTGTCCAGCAGGGTGTCAAGTGCGGACAGAAGCTCTTCATCGTGGTTCAAGATGTTGTAGCTTACGCAAAGAAGCTACAAATCAACTTTCCCAATGGCACCAACGAGCAGATCATTTCTTTATTAAACAACTCGGATATTGTCGTCAAGGACCTCCCTACTGCTGTGTGTGTATGTCTGGGGTTGGATGTACCCACCGACTACCTGAACCTCGCTTCAGACGTGGTAAAAGTCGTAAACAAGGTGCTAATTCAAGTGGTGGAGAAGGGATCTTCACTGCTGAGTGTGGACACGTTCCTGACCTTCATTAACGGCATTGGTGTTGGTAGCTCGGTGGAGTCGTTGAATGAAGACGACACCTCTACGTTAAAGAGCCTCATCTCGGAAGGCAAGACCTGCGGTACCGAACTACAATCGATCATTACGAAGGTTACGCAGGCGGTTGCTGATATCAAGACAGCTAATGCAGCGTCTTCTGCTGACGCTATCCGATTGGCTCTTGGTAACACCGCTCTCTTCCTTACGGAAATCCCTACTGTGACCAACAACTGCATTAAGAACATCACTGGAAACAACGCGAACACTGTGCGTGATCAGATCCGAAAAGGACTTAGCGTGATCACAGACAACCTTATCGCCTCTTCCGATGATGACAGAGGTAATGCTCTCTCCACGGCTGACTACATCCTCAAGGTGGCCGATATGGGACTCGATGTGATCGCCATGTTCGATCCTACGGGCATCGCGAAGATGCTGGAAGAGTTCATCCAGCCCATTTGCGGTCCTACGTCGTTCATAGGTGAGATCGACGATGGGTCCCTTGGCGATGCTCTCGCTCTTGTCGCCCATGGAGACGCTTTTGCTGGGAGCTACGGTACCTGGACGCACGCTGGTGATGGTGCTGTGAATATTGTGTTCCAGAGTACGGACACCGAGGACGTGACGGTCGAGATTCACTCTGGCGGCAAAATTGTGGATTCCGTGAAGGTGAAGAGCGGCGAGACTGTCACGTGGAACTCGACCGTGTCGACGTTGCAGGACAAGACGATATACTTGGACCGATGGCGTCCGGGTCTTCTTGGCCTTCCTGGGTCTGGTGGCGGCTCCCTCGTGCTGTGGGTACCTCGGTCGTCTGCAGGCGGCCGTATTGATCTTGTTGCCAATATCAACGTCAGCTAAGCTATGTTAAGCAACTTGGACGCAGGCAAGTTAAAAATCAATTTGCATCGATTTCTTGCGTTGCGCCCTATTGCAGTTTACATTGCAGTTAGCTTTGGGGTGCCATTAAGTATTGCAATCCGCGGAGATCACGCAATTGGGCATTACAATGTTTGTCCACTTGTGTCCAAAGAGTCGTGAAGACCCGTAGGTAGATTTCAACTATAACGTGGCTAGAAAAGTAAAGTAAATTAAAACCTTACAACTTTTTCCAGCAAGCGTTTTTTTCTCCTGTGCAGAGCGGTAAAACAGCACCATGTAGAGCGTAGCCATAAAAGATGGCTTCAGCCTTATTTTATTACTCAACGACAACGAACTTGCAGAACTTTCGTTGAAAATGTCGCTTGCCGTTGGATGGCATTCAGACGAAAAAACCCATTAAAATTTAATGGTTTTTTTCGTCTGAATGTCATTTCATCCAATCAGCATGCGTACCGACGAGATTTTGGAACTAAGTTAAAAGGGGTCTGAATGCCATCCCGGCTAGGGATGGTTTTGGACTACTTCTAAACGATCCAAAACACTTCCAGAAAACGTCCGATATTCCGTTCAAAATTCAAAAGCATGCAAAACTAACAGAAAGAATATTCTCAACTCGAGGCGCAGAGTTTTAGACACTTTTGGACTTCCCAACGGACATCGGCAGGCCCCAGAGCTGGCCACCAAGAGCTGCCCTAAGGATCACAGCGGCCGCTGAGAGCTATCGCAAGGACTCAGGGGTTGCTGAACTACATTGATGGCCTCCCAGAGCTGCTGAGAGGACCACCATGGCCGCCCCAAGCTGCAGTAAGAACGACGACGGCCGCCCGGATGCTGCTGGAAGTGACACGACGACCGTCCGGAGATGCTGGAAGAGTGGAGACCGCCGCCCAGAGCTGCTGAAAGAACGACGACGGCTGCCAGAGCTGCTGAAAAATGGTGGCCGCCCCCCAGAGCTGCTGTAAGGAGAACAACGGCTTCCAGAGCTGCTGGATAGACAAAATGAGCGCCCAAAACTGATGTAACACCATCCAGAGCTGCCGTAGCAACAAAAGTGGTCACAACGATGATAAAAGCATGTAAATAATGGAACTAACCAGATCTACGTGGCGAACTTACTGCTAGTATCATTATTATACTTAGTATAAAGTACTTCTTGAAGTACTACTAGTTGCAATGGAGGAAGGAAAAAGCAAGCAGGAGATACACTCAATTCGAAAGACAAGTTGTTGCTTTGCTTTATGCCACTTGAAGTATTAGTTTATTGGCAGCATCGACGCTGGCAGGAATCGATTTGATTGCCGCCGGCAAAACCATTAGCACCGTTCGTGGTCACGTGAAGCCTAGAGTCTCGACTCGAGCTGAAGGGAGGTGACAGTTAATTACCAATGCAATAGGAATCTTTTCGTAGCTAACGAGATGAAAGGTGTTGTATTCAAGTTAAAATTCGTGATCGATATCTACGCTCTCAGGGCACGATTGATGTCGAGCAAGGTCGATTTCACCACTTCGAATTGTACCGTAGTTGATGTAAATGTATGCCAGCATTTCAATCTTTTCGACTGAGAGTCTGTTCCTGCGCTTGGAGTGAATGTGATCAAAGATACTCCAAGCTCTCTCGCTTGCTGCCGAAGATGTCGGTATCGCAAATACAATCGCAGCTACCATCTTCAGAAGAGGGTAGTTCTTTTCATCTTTTGCTCCCCAGTAATCCCGCGGACATGCTTCAGAATACTTCCTTCGTAGCTCTTCACCGCCCCTCCGTTTCATGCATTTAAACTTGAGAATCTCAGCAGTTAACTTTGCCACATTAGCAGGGGTTATCATACCGCACCTGATTGCCAACTTGCAAACTTGATCGTCAACGTTTTCGTCATCATCACCAACGAAGTCGTCGAGGTTGGTTGCTGGATCTAGCAAGAAGGCAACGGCCATTGCATTTGTGTGGACGTATTTCCACCGTTTTTGAATCTTCTCACGGAAAAAGGTTTGGAGTTCGTCTAGTGAAATCGTTGTAATACTTGTATACTCGTCATCATCTCGGGAATCCAAATTCGATGCAGTCGCATTTTGCTGTTGATTCTCAGTAAGAAAAGTAGAAGATAGAATTTCAGCCGCGTCACTGAGCACCCCGATCCCAGCACCGTCCTGGTCATGGCTTTCCTGTTCCAAGTCGCTTTCTGCTAGCTCTGCCTGGGATTGTTCCCCGTCAGGCGACGTCACGCCGTACGCTGTGTGATACCGTAGCCACCGAAACCACTGATACACTCCAGAAATAAATCCACTGTCTGCTTCCAGCGCACGCAGTGCCTCTATAATGGGGTCAAACATGCGCACAATAGTTCTTAAACTGCTCCAAAAGCCATCGTCACGAACTAATCCAATAACGTAGCGTAGTTTTTTTCGATTCGATGGGGTTCCACGATAGCGGTCTCTAAACGTCTCGTAACTGGAACTCAAAAAAAGTTTTTCCAGGATCTCCTGGCTGTTTAGCACATTCCGCATGCAAGCGTGGACTGAGTACCAACGTGTTGGTACGGGCAACACAAGATTCCTGGCCCTCATTCCAGCCTCTCGAACCCCTTGTTGCAGCCGCTTGAACTCATCAAATAGAGCAAGATGGTCCCTTATGAAGCGAGTAACAGGCACGGCTCTTGACACAACAGCTTTAACGGCGGTAAAGCGCGATACGTCCTGCATCAGTAAATTTAAAACGTGTGCCGCACAACCACCACTGATAACGTTCGGACGCCTCATCTGGACCTGCCCTGACGCACTTCGCATGTTACTAGCATTATCCGTGACGACGCCAACCACTTGTGCAGTCGTCTCCTGCTCGATTTCAGCAATGACCTTGTCGATTTCGTCAGCAAAGTATCTGGCAGTGTGCTGCTTCGATCTCGTGGACCATGACGACCAGAACATGGAAGGCATCCCTGGGGCAACCACCATGAAGTTTATAATGCTGGAGCCATTCGTATCCGTCCAACCATCCGTAACGAGTGACACATAGGTATGAGCGTTGATCAAATCAATAACCTTCGAGCGAATTTCATCTCGTACTTGTTTTAGCAGCACCATACTCAACTTGTGACGCGAAGGTAACTTCACTGACGGTGCTACCAAAGCAATAAAGTCGCGAAATACTTGAGCTTCAAGCAGTATAAATGGTAAGGCACACACGAAAAACACCCGTGCAAGTGCCATTTCGAAGGCGTCTTGATCAATCTCATTTTTCGACGGCTCTGCAGTCGGTTGTGACGGCGTCACCGTTGGTACAGAAGGTGGTGTTGGTCGTAGAGAGATCTGTACATCTCTCGGGACATTAGGGCACTTGTTGGCCTTCATCAAGTGGTCCAACAAGTTGCCACTCGGCTTACCGTTCTTCTTCAGAACGCCGCAATAGTTGTACCGCCCGTGTTTCTTCCCATTCTCACGTTCGATAGTGTAGTGTTTCCAGATGTCGTCCCGCGGGCGTCATATCTTCAAAGGAGACCCCTCGAGACCGTCGTGACGACCCTGGAGTACGGGCTGAGCGCGCTGGCGTTCGGGGAGTACGCGGGGAACTAATTGTACGGGATGATCGACCAGTTGTTGAAGAGCGGGGAGATCGAGATGAAGCTACAGTTCGTGATAAGTTCGGCGGGATTAAGGTAGAGGTGGATAGCACTGGGGACGAGGACTCGGGGGGAGGCGAGAACATCACTCTACGGGAGCTTGCCGGTGACCTTGGGCGGCCCTCAAGAGGCCTTAGAGGTGATGAGTCCCTCTGGTAGGGGCTGTACCGAAGCGCTCTTTGTCGTGACGAGCCTGGAGGCGATCGAAACGTGGTGGAAACGGAGCATTGGCTGGTTGGGTAGAGCCCAGGTGATGCTACCGGAAGCCGCAAGCTCTCCGATTGCGATGGCGAGTTGGCCGCAGCTTCCTCGGTTGTCATCATTGGCACGACCGCTTTGTCTTCGAGATCTCGACTTTGGGAAATCCTCACTGGCTTTCAGACTTTTGGATACTTCTAAAGTGTTTAAAACATTCTGGAGTATTTTAAACGTTTTTTACTCTACAAATCTGAAACCATCTCTACTACCGACTGAGTTAGACGGGTGTACCGTCACAAACCTTACAGTAACTTAACACAAACAAAGTGCAACACAACACCAAACAAACCAACAACACAACACCAAACAAACCAACAACACAACACCAAACAAACCAACAACACAACACCAAAATACATTTACACACTCTCGCATTTACCCACCAACTCATGGAGCTAC